CTACTACTACTACTACTACTACTAGTACTCCTGCTGCTACCACTTCTACTCCTACTGCTACTGCTACTACTGCCCCCACCAAACGGCGACAAGTCAAAAACAATGCTGGGGCTGTGTGTAGCGATGCCACCATAGAAGGCGATACCCATGACCTTACCACACAGAAGGAGTTTTGACCGTCGCACGTCTGCTTCCATGTCCAAACAGTCTGCTGCGTTGTGAAAACAACCTTTAACCTAAGTAAGGTTCAAAACGTGGAAAACGATAATACACTCATCAAATTGAAATGTGCAAGGCCCACATAACAAATAAACAGCGTCGCTCATATATATATATATAGTATGCGAGGTGGCACAAAGCAGAAAACTCCGACCTCTTGAAAACTTGCCCAGCTTCTTAGCCCTTGGCGTACTCCCATACTCCCACCGAGTTCTCAGACTGTGAGGGTGGAACCTCTTCCGCATCGGTCGATCGACTTCTCTCTTCAGGGACCAGCGCCCGGCCACTAGTGCCATGACCTCAAGGCCAAAGGGTGTTGCTGCTTTCGAAGGAAAAAACACATACTGTCATACAAGAATTGATCAGGCAAAACTCTTGCGAGACCTAGATTTGACAGAACTGACTTAAGAAACGTGTTTAGGAATCATTCCCTGAGAGTATGGTTCAGCTGCTGCTTCTGAAAGTCTCAGAGTGTAAGGTAGAAAGGATTGCATTTTGCTCAGCATGTTCACATGTACTGATCATTATTTGTGATAGTATGTGCTCGTTGCAGGAGGAGTTTGTCCAAACAAGAGTCCCCGGCGGCCGGGCGGTATATTGAACATCTTTTGCTGAGCTGTCCTGTTCAGTATTCCTTCGGTAGGGTCTTTGCGCAGTCCACTTATGGCTGACCAATGAGACGGGACCAGAAGAACAATAGATGCGCCTAAGAGTCTCAGCCCGTTCGTTTGTGGCCAGAGCACTTCTGTGATCCTCAACTGGCTGAAGCACAGGGCACCTCTCCAGCTCAGGCAATTCCACCCCCGGCAGGAGTTCTTGAAAGGCTCGTCGGCATGTGTGCAAGGGTCAAAACACGCGATGAAGAGTTCTTTACATAAGTCGCCGTGGAATGTCTAAGAATGTGATTTTCTTTGTAAAACGATGGGAACCCTGAAAAACGATACCAGACAAGTTCGTTTGTTGTGGCATGATTGATTTCATTCACAGGTATGTATTGTATTGTCCTCTAGCACGTTCGACATGCAAAAAGGCCCAAAACGATGCTTTTCGATACCCCAAACGGTACCAGAAGTCGTCAATTATAGGGAATGCCCCATATCCATATCCAGGGTTGCCCAACACAACCTTTTTCCTAGATAACGCGAGGTATTGGGCTTCGATTTTCAAGTATAGGAAGAGGCGCTCGTGCGCTTTGGGGCCTGAGTGCTGGTGCTGCTGCAGGGTTCCGCTGCCAGATGTGTGGCTGTGTGCGCTTTGGAGCCTGGGTGCTGGTGCTGCTGCAGGGTGCCGCTGCCAGATGTGTGGCTGTGTGTGCTTTGGAGCTTGGGCGCTGGAGCTGCTGCAAGGAGCCGCTGCCAGATGTGTGGCCATGTGCGCGTTGGAGCTTGGGCGCTGGTGTCGCTACTCTGGCGCTGCCTATTCGTGTCTTTTGCTTTCTGGGTCTGCGCTGGCGTAATTTAATTTCTTAGTAGAGACAACAGCAAGCTTGCAGCCTTCAGGAGAAGAAAGCCGATAATCCAGTCGAAGGGCTCTCCCATACAGGATTCGATACATATCTCATGAATTAGCCAAAACAATGTCCGCACTGTGTGGGAGGATGAGAACCCTGAAAAACGATACCATGACCTTACCACACGTATATAATGAGTTTTGATCGTCGCACATGTGATAGACAATTAAGGTACAACATGACCTTGGTCATGTTTGCTATGTTTTTTTTGTGGCGCTGTGCTTCTGCTTCTGATTACTTTTGTCACGTTTAATGATGCAATGCAAATATGTTTGTGCTTGCAAACACTTTGAATATTATGTTGCTTGCTTTGGGGACATCGTGCTCACTGCCGTGGAGAAAGACTCATACCCATCCCTCACCTTCTGTTCTTGTCCAGAGACTGTTCCCAATCAGTAGGTTTGTGGCAAATAGGTGAGTCGAAAAGGCAGGAGGCAATTGTCACGTGGGTGAATGTGGATTGTGATGCTTCATGAATCTCGCAAAGGGAAGCAAAAGGCCAACAAGCGTAGAATCAGAAGTGCCACCAGTGTTGTGTACATACACGTGTTTATCCAAACTTCGGGAAGGTATCGGTCTTGTTTTGGGAGGTTTGTGATCAGAAAAATTTTACCGTAAATTATGCTAGAAGTACAGGGCTGGAACGGACAAGAGGAACAACTAGGAATCTTGTATGTCATGTAAACGCAATCCCTTGAATATAAGTATATATGACACGCTCGAATACATGCTTTCTTTGCAGAATCTACAAAGAAATTGTCTATTCCTACACTCCGGTCGACTGTGGTGCGGTTGGTCGATGAAGACATTCAATTCAAACACTTCACCAGCTTCCCACCTTCTGTAGTCATGGAAACGAGTCCAGAGGTCTAGAATTTCTGTACTTTCTAGGAGAAACCTATTGCAGTGTTGAAATGGTAACATTTGCTAATGTGTTGCGCTAATATTTCAAGTACAAGAGACTTTTGTGGCAGGAGGAGAAGCCTTAGCAAACCGGACTCTCGGGCAACCTGGCATTGTATTGACAGATTTCATCAGATTTCTACATACTATATAAATGTTTTAACGAGACTTACCGTGAGCAGCTCGTTGATTTTCTCCTGGCTCTGAAAAGAAGAAGGCTCACCTCAAGAAAGAGATATATAGTTGACAGTATAGTTGGCCAGAATACTGAGAATGTCACTAGCTGAGCAGCTGAGGTGCCATCGCTGCATTCTGAAGATGGCCTCGGAAGGCACGCAAGTCGTCATTTTGAGGTATAGGGAGAATGGAGGGTTTGCTCCTCATAGGATGCTTGCTGGAACGTGTTTTGAACGTAGGATTATATTCATCATAGAGTAGGTCTAATTACCTATAATTCAAATCAATTCAAGGCGCTTTTTACTTTTTGCAGGTGGTTTGAGGCTGAGGAAGATGAACAACACAGGACGAGTGTGTTGGTGAACGCAAACTTATTGAAATCCGTACTGATTTGAAGGCCGCTCGCCACACGGCAAGCTAAGTAAAAAAACTGAGTAAACCAAGGCAAAAAAAGTTGGAGGTCATCGCTCTAAGGTTGGAGGCCATCGAAAGCAGGTTGAGGGGCCATCGCTAGTAGGTTAGATGCACAAGCTGAAAGCGACACCAAGCAACAAGGTTGGAGGTCATCGCTAGTAGGTTGGAGGCCAGAGTACCAGGTTGGAGGCCAGTAAAACAGCGAGGTTGGGGGTCATTTCTAGTGCGTTGGAGGCCATCGCACCAGGTGTGAGGCCAGGGCTACAGGTTCACAAGACCCAAACACAAACTTAAAACCTGCTCGAGCAGGTACGCAGTGGGGCGTTCCCCACTGCATCAGCACCTACTGGCACCCTCTTCGTTGGACGGGAAGTGCCAGTGGTGTCCCGTCCCCCTGCTCAACACCGAAAGGTTCCCTGTGAGTCCAAGGGTTACACTTAGATCGTTGCTCGCAAGAGCTAGGATCAGTACGAAGTCCCCCCCTTTACACGCATTAGACCTTGACTTGATGTAACAGCAAAACGCAGAACGAAAAGGTGAAGAGGTCCGCCCAGTTGAAGATGTTTAACAATTTTTGGAATCACCTACGAGGAGGATCAGAAGTTATAACTATAGTTATATCTAAGTTAGCGTTAACTATGTTAACTTAAGTTATAGAAGTTAGCCCTAAGTTCATATCTTCCCTAACTTCCACCGGCTTGTTTTTTCAAGGTTTTCTAGTTTTCTCGTTTTTCAAGGTAATCGAGCACTTTTTCACCCGCGATCAGCCCATTTCATGTCTAAAACAAGCAAGTGACTTTGTCACCGGCCCATGACCACCATACAGGCATTTGCAAAGAGCCGCTCAGGTCGATTTGGCGCAAAGTGCGCTTGCAGGTCCGCTCGAAGATAGCTCCATATGTCTCGAGAGGTCAGACGCAGGTTCACGTATTCAATGAAGGGCGCAGCGTCGCGGCAGACGGCGCGTGTCATCATGCCAGCGCGAGCGCCCATATCGAAGAGGAGTATATCTCCTTTGCGCACATTTGTGGACCAGATCCGCACGCCGTCTGATTGTTGCGAGCCGCGCAAGTCTGGCGCCGAGACAACTGGCGTATGTAATTTCAATGGTGTCAGATCGCTCCCGTCAAACTGCGTCAGTAGCAGTGAGCTGAGCACATTGGACGCGTAGACACTGGGATTGTGCACGTGGTGTGCCTCGCGGTCGCCACATCCACCAGACTTGAAGGTTCTATGCTTGGACTCATGTCTTTCACAGTATGGCATGAACTTGAGCATCATGACCCACTCAGCCAAGTGCAGCCTGCAGGCTTCCGCTGAATAACAGCGCGCAAAGCATTGTTGGTGCACGTGTGACCAAGCATCCAGTGAATTTACTTCCTGCCAATCTGCAATGGGAGCCCAGCGAAACCTCAAACGATTGATCTCCCTGCAGAGCCGAGCCAGGCACTCGAACGAACGAGTGGCGTCCGGGCAAACCCCGCGCGGGCGCACGAACTTGTCCAGGTAGTAGTTCAGCAAAGGCACCACTATCGAAGTTGCCCACGCCTCACCTTTGAACTGTTCTGCGCGCCAGGCGTGCTCACTCCAGAGTTCTCCAAAGAGGGACGGACCTTTGTGGCCACTTGACCAAGGTCTTTGCCGCATGGCTTCCAAACAACAGAGCTTGAGGGCATGGTGTGTCATCTGCGGTAGGGCGGCGTTTATAGCCTGCCAGAGAAACGCCAACTCAAAATTCGCGCAGCCGTTCACAAAATAGAGGCGCACGCAATCTACTGCTGCTTGGCTTGGCGGCAGCAGTTCCCTTGCCACAGGGTCCACCAACACGCCACGCAACGTTTTGCGTAGGCCACAAGACTTCTCAAAGGCCTGGATCGCCTTTTTGCCCTCTATGGCCTTGAGCGCGTCGGCTTGCGCAAAGATCTCACGGTCTGTGAGAGGGAGAAATTTTTCTTTTCTCCACTCAGAGATCTCGCAAAACAGGTCGTCGTCGACTCTGCTTTGCGCCTTGAGAACATTGCTGCAAAGCACGCATGGCCGAATCCCGCCGGCACCTTTCAGGTCAAAAGTTCCACGGAGAGCGTCGCCGGCCAGCAGGACCTTCCAGTGGGCCGCAAGGTGGATGGTCTGCTTCAAGCCGGTGACTCTGCTCCCGTGGAAATTTTGCCAGTGCTTGACCGCCGCAGCGACCGCGCAGCCAATGCCTTCTATTTGGTTCAGCTCCTCTTTTGGCAGCACTGCCACCGGCAGCCATGCCGCTGCGTCTCCGAAGAGAGGCAATATATGTCAAACGTCAGGTAAAACAAGGAGCATTTTTTTAGCTTCTGTAGAGACAGGATGTTGCCTGCCTGCGCTTCGTCGTGGTAAAGCACAGGCTGCAACAACGTGTTTTCTCCCAGAGGTCTGCCAGCTGCGGCGCACGGTCCAGCATATGGCGCAGCAAATTTGGCAAATTGGCCACGAGTAACACCGCGTCCCTGCGACCAGGCCTGCCTGGAAGACTCAGTGTGTCAAAACACTGGCGTAGCGGTGCTTTTTCCCTCTGCAAAGTTCCTTGGCACGTAGACCAGGATATTTTCCTTTTCTTCTGATCATGGAAAATGTTCCAAAGTTTGTGCATGGTGCGAGCACTCACGCCAGATACTTTGGCCGCTTCCATGAGTTTTTCCCGGTCGTCATCCCGCAACCTGCACCTCTTGCTGAGCACCAGGGGTGGTTCGTGTAGGCGTCGAAACCCCGCGCACCTACATATGTATCCCCCTGCGTGAGCCATGCAACGGTCGTGTAGTCCAGCCACACACAACCCCGCGCCTCCCCCCGCCCCCCCCCCAGAAAACAACGTCTCTTTTTCCTATATAAATGCCTGATCCGAGGCGATTCCCTCATAGTGGCCCGATTAGATCGATCGTGCTGTCTAGGCAGTAGACTGCACTGATCAACAGACCCACATTGTCCATACAGAACAGAATATCTGCGCTGATGCGCCGCAGCTGATAGTCAGTGGGAGCGCTCAAGATGATCAGGTCGTGGACCACGTTCATGGCGTCGTGCAACAAGCGATCCAAGTCTCGTTTCTGCTCCTCCAAGAAGAACATGGCGCGCCATGACTTCGGTGATGGGAGCTTCTCTGGGTCGATTGGTCGCACGTTCCCTCTCGGGCGTTCCTGCTCGCAGAAGTAGCCCTCGCACGCAATGGCCATTGTCCACAACGGCAGCAGACCGTTGGCGTCGAATGGCAGGGGCTCCAGGGCCGCCGCAGGATCCCGGCCAAACGCAGCCACCGTCGCGCGCGCTGCTGCGAGCCACTCCCCTTGTTCTTTGACGGCAACCTCCAACTCTGCCACATTTTCACGGGGCAGCTTGGAACTGTGGCTATCCAGCAGCTTTTGTGTCTGCTGCACTTTGGGCTGTAGCAAAGCAACTGCTTTGCCCGCCAAAGCAGATGCAGCGGCATTCTCCCGCTCGCGCTTGGCCTGCGAGCGCTGCAATGCCCGCTGCTCCGCTGCGGCGCTCTTCCCTTTGCCTTCGCCCGGACTTGCCTCCGGCACGTGCATGTGTCCGCAGACGCAGTAGATTTCTGGCCCTTCTTCTGGTTTGCTGCCTGCTCACGCATGAGCAGTTCTTCTTCGACCTCCTCCTCGATCTTGGCCTTGGAGATAGTCTTCGTGTGCACTTGGTACAATGTGCCCAAATGCGGGTCCTCCTCAGAGGGACAGTTGCGGACGTTTTCCTCAGTGTACCCTTGAGACGTCCAGTAGTCCAAGGGCTTGAAGGGCGCTGTGATGTCCACGGACGAGCGCATCAGTGTGCGCTTGGCCAAGCACTCCTTGAGCACGCCCCGCAGGCATGTCCAGGTGACGCGACCGTTTGGGTCTTTGGCCTGCAGGGCTTTGCTGAAGAAGTCTTTCTTTTCTTCTTCCGAAACTGTGGGCCAACCACCCATGTGGCGTCGAAGCATCTTGTCCGTGGCCACACAGCTTCGGCACCAGATTTTGCGACCGTCGCGCTTGCAGTCCGCAGACTCCTGCACACAGAAGGAGCAAACCATCTTCTCCATGGCCGCTATACACACAGACCGACGCGCGCGCGCGGGGAAACAAGCGCCTGAGCCAACAAAAAGCTACGAACGAACACACGAAAATCAACGAATCGCGCGAGGCCTCCGGACATTCTCCGGACATCTCCGGCATCTCTGGACATCCTCTCTTATTGTAAATGTAAATGACGCGCGTGTCGCGACTCCGGACATTTTTCCGGACATCCACTTTTTCGCCTTCCACAGCCTCGCGAGACGTCAGGCAAACGCTACGGGCCGCCCGAACCCTGCGACTCACACTCCAAAAGGGTCGCCCCGCAGGCGCGAGAACTATAGTGCTGCTGCAGGACGTGGCACACACATCCGCAACGAGCACAATCGCCCAAAAGGCAGCTTTCGCACTGAACTTCTTTCTTTTCAACCGTGCCACAGATGTGCATGATCACGCGTCCGCAGTGCACCAGACCGCTTTGCGCCGACTGCACAAAAGGAATTTTCTGACCAGACTTGGTGTCCACTACCCACTTGACCACATCCTCCTCAGGTGCTCTGCGTGCGCCGGTCGCAGCCGCCGCTGGCTCATGCTTCCGCTTCTTGCGCTCAGACTCGGGCAGGGAATCATCGTCCCAAACACAGAGCCCCAACTTTCATGGCAGCGCGCGGACGTTGCTATAATCCCAGGCGCCGGCGCGGCGATAAATTCTCGGACGCGCGATATATGTCTATACATATAGGGATGTCTACAACGAGGGCCGTTTCTACTTACCCAATATAGGGCAAGTTAATAACATTGGTTAAATTTAGTTTTATTATAGCTTTAAATTGATATTAACTTCGACATGTTGACGTAAGTTCTTAAGTTTTTGTAAGTCAACCTACAGTGGTTAGCAGGCTTAGTATGTTTGGATAAGTGTTCCTAAATGTTTGGTCTGTTTTTTCAAACCGGCGAACCTGAGAACTTAGCGGAACTTAGCTTTTACAGTCGCAAAATGAGAAGGAGAAGTTGCTGGTGCAATTTGTCAAGTGCGTGCGGAGTTTCTGTAAAAAGAATGAAACATGCTTCTTCAGTTTGCGAATGGGTGTTGAGTTGTTTTTCATTCTCTTCGCAATAGTCTTTGTTCATGACTCTCTGCAGTGTTCTTTGTTCAGCAGATCATTTGTATGTGTGGCCATGACTCTGACTCTGCGGCAGCTCGCGAAATACTGCGTGGTCCCAATTGAACAGGGGCAGGCGTTCAACTTATACTTTGTTCAAGATGTGCTTCCAGGCCTGCAGTGGTCTGACACAGATGATGCATTCCAACCAATTCAAAAAGCTCGGGACCTTCTTATCGCGCCACGGCATGAGCAGAGCACTTGGATAATTGCATACGAGAGCTACTATTTTCAGGTGAAGGATCAGCTGCACGTGCAGAAAGATAATGTTGTGGCCATGCACGTTTGGAATGAGTATGACCAGTGTGAAGAGGTTTTGTTGTTTACGTCTGAGCCTGCCGAGAAGTAGTGGGTTAATCCATGTTTGAGCGGCTTGGTGGGCCGCTTGCAGGATGTTGATTTTTGCGTGTGAAAAAGAGTTTGCAAGTGTTCGTTTTCTTTTTTGCGCTGTTTGGTATAGCTGGGGCACGGTTTGTAGAGGCTTTCAGGGCCGTTCTGTGGGCCGCCTATAGTTGTCATCAGCTCATCTTCTTTTTCTTTAGGAATCGTTGGGCTCAACTTCCAGTGTGTGTTACCAGTTCTGGTCTTTTCCAGAACTGGGTGTGTGTTGTGCGTATTACTTCCAGCGTCGGCTATTAAAATCCGACACTGGCTAAATAGGATTTTTTGTGCGTTGCCAGTTCTGGTCTTTTCCAGAACTGGGTGTGCGTTGTCTGCGTTCTATATATATATATGTCATCAGCGAAACATTTTATACAAATGAATATTTCTTTGCTGAACTTTGGAACTTTAGATGCAGCACTCTGAGCTTTTGTAATGTCTTGCCAGGCTTGGCTTTTCTTTGCGATAGGCTGCGGGCGGTTTTGTGGACCGCCTTATAGTGTCCGCGCAGCGCCATGGCTGATGGTGTGGAGACTCAGATGAAGGCATTGATCGAGTTTCTGCGCGCCTCATCGGCAGAACCAGTGCTCATCGAAGCCCATGTGCGATCCCTTCGTGAGAAAATCTCAGCACTTCCCAAAATGTCCTTGGAGCAAGCAACGGCTTTGGCATCTACAGTGAAGTCAGCCGAGGGTGTGATTGAGGGGAAGGATGTGAAAGCAATCTTAGATGCCCTGCATGAAAAAATGAAAGGTGCTCCTTTGGATCCGAAGGGGAAACGCCCCATGCAAGAGTGGTTGACTTGGGCGTGCTTCTTGACGGCAGACCTTTGGGAAGTGATTTTGAAAGGAACCAACACATCTCTGGTTCTGAAGCAAGTCGCGCAGTTCTTATTCAATCTTGGCCTGCGATGTCCCTCAGAAACGGTCTATGGGACACTCACGGCCATGTTGGTTTTGAGAATGCCTGAGAATGAGCGCAACTTTCAAACCACACAGGACTGGTTCAGCTTGCACACGACGGTCAAGACCCAAGTGAAGGCTATCTTAGAGATGTCAAAAGGCCAAGACCCGGGCATCATTGGCACCTACCTTGTTTCTCTGCCAGGTGACTTCAGAGAGCTCCATGAAGATCTGCGGAGGAGAATGTACGGTGACTGTGGGGAGCCAGTTCCGCCGAGGAATCTTGGAATGGTAATGTAGATGTTTCATTTTCCTGTCTGTTCTTGGCATCTGTTCAAAGGAAATCTATGTACATTTAACGGTTTACAGACATGCAAATGCATTCAGTCGCGTACCGCTTATTGATGGTAAGCAGGAGCCTAAACCCACATAGACGCGTGCATCGACCTTTGATGTCGTCATTGTGTTTTCTGTTTCATTGCCACTGCTGAGGATTCAGACGGAGAATCTTATCTTTTTGGCGAGGACGATGCCTTTGCGAAAATCCCACAAAGAAGCGCCGCGTCCTGCAGCCTTTTCTGGGTCATTGCAGCATGGCTTCCTGCCAACTCATTTGATGCAATATATGGCTCAGGCCATGATGTCGAGCTGTGGGCAGCTGTCTTCCGGGTGTATGCCAGGTATGGGGTCTTTGAACCAGTGGGCTCATCAACAGGGCCAGGAGCGTTCCATGACTGGCCCTACTGCTCCGAGAGTTCCACTTGCTTTGACAATGGAACCGGAAACCTTGCCAAAGACAGAGAATTTGACGACAACTAAGCGCATGGATGTACATTCCAGGGCGTCTACCCCAAGCCCACCGGCAACATCGTCTCCTGCGGCGGTTGAAACTATTCAACCTATTGCTTTGCTTTCAACTTCAAGCCAGGAAAACTTGGAGAAGCCTGAGAACCCGGGTGTGTCAATGCCAGAGGCACCAAAAGCTGACAACCTTGGTGCCATGGAGCAGGATCGGCTGCAACCACCATTGGAGGTAAAGTTCAAAACCGATCCTGCGGTTCCACTGCCTGAAAAACACGATCCTGTGGTTCCAGGGCCTGAAAAGCACAAGGGTGTGAAGTCTGCGCTCTTGAGCTTGGATGAGGCAATGGAAAAGCGTGAGACTGACAAGAGAGGCATTCCAAAGTCAGGCGCCGCAATGAAGAGGCCAGCCGCTAAAGGCCCGACTGCGAAAGCAAAAGCTAAAGCAGCGAGCGCCAAGGCAAGCAACGTCCCAAAGAAAGTGATGTCTTCTTCGAAGCCTGTTCAGAAAGCGATGCCAAAGACCAAGGTGAAGAAAAACGCAAAGTCGAAGTCGAAACCTTTTCTCCGGCCATGGCCGTCTCAGAAAGAAATGAAGAAGTGGAAGCCTACAGGTTGCAGCAAGTGCAGAAATGTTCCTGGCTGCACCACCTCATGCTGGGTGCAACGAAGACATGGTCCACCACCTTCAAAATGAGGACAGCTTAGCTCTTCTTCGTCAATGTGACCTGCAGCTTCACAGGCCGCACTGACTGTCAGCGGCCTGCCGCCTCAGTGACTTGTTGGGGTAGGGATGCAAGACACATCCTTCAGTTCTGTAATTTTGAAGCTGAATCTGACCTGCAGCTTCGCAGGCGCACTTTGTGAGCGGCCTCGTGGGCCGCCTCAGTGATTTGTTGGGGTGGGGATGCAACAGACATCCTTGAAGCCAGCTTTTGCGGGTATAGAAATGTTGTTTTGCCATGGTGACATTCAGTAGATAGATAATCTTCCTGGAAACCCATGTGTTGTTTGACTTGCTTTATGTCGTGCCACCTGTCAACATGTATTCCCAGCTGCGCTTCGTTTGTGTGTCACAAGCAAAACTGCGAAACTACACTGAAACCACAAGTGGGTACAAACTGTGCCACTCTGTTCCACTGTTAAGTACTGGAGGGTTTAATTCAATGGCCCCTGCCTGTTCTAAGAATAACCACTTTCAATACAAAATTATGTGAACGAAAGCAGTGCAAGGGAGTGTTATCTACCACATGTTTGCTTTCTAGCGAGCCATGTCTGCCACTACATCGTCCTCCCATCAACCAGGTCGTTCACGACACAGGCGCCGCCGTACTTCCAGGAAAAGAGAAGATAGAAGCTCAGAGAGAGCACTACGAAGGCGCAGAACATTGCGCTTTAATCAGGTCGTCAGCCCATCTCCTCCTACAGACAATGAAAATTGCTTTCATTGGCGAGCTTCAGATGGCGTGGAAAAGGCCACTGCGTCCACATGTGGTTCTTCCCAAGTGAAGTTGGAGTCAGAGATGCTTGGTGCCCAAACTGAGCAGCCCCAGAAACGAAAACATAGAAAAAAGCCGAAGTCCAAGCCGGAGAGTCCAGAAGAGGTGAAGGCCTGCGTGTGTGTCGCAAGATATCGGCGCAAAAAGGAGCTGGATCCAGATCCTGCGCAGCGCAACCATGATCCTTCTCCTGAAGTTTCAGAGACTTTGGCAGAGACTTCAGAGGCAAAAGTGCAGGATCGTGGGCCGCCAAAGCAATCAGATGTCCAGTCAGAGATTTCGC